TAGAATTTTTCCGATCTTTCTGAAATTGTTCTGTGCCATTAACGTTAATTTTTGAATAACTGCAACTGATATGTCACCCCCAGAAGCGAAGGAGGTGTAGTGGCAAGTGGCACGCTTACCATGCACGCGATCCGGGGGTCAAAAGCCGGGTCGGCTCCCAAGCCAATCAAGCCTTCTAACCTCCGGGAAAGGTGGATTGGCACCAGATTGGTCTGGGAGGATAAAAACACGGACTTTTACATATTTCGATTGGCCTCACAAGTCGTTACAAGTGATTAAAAGCTGGTTAACAAAGGACTGATTAATAGCAAAGACTTCGTTCGAAAAAGGGCGCGAGCTGAACTATTGAATCTGTAGCCCTAAAATACATTAGTTTTTTTTCTGGTGAAGAATAGATTTTTCCTCGTGTTCCTTTTTCCAGAGGACGAAAGGATAGAAGAAAACAAATTCCCTCCATTAACCGATCCTTTCTGGACCTTGCAAATGTGCGACGTAGTAGAAGTGAGCCGCTTTGTTTACAGGTATTCATAAAGTAGCCTGTACAGGCTTCGCTGAGCACTACTTAGTGCATACGTCCAGAAAGCGCTCGAAAATATCATCTTCTATGGGACTTAAAACTTACATCGCTTTGCTTAGCTTGCTGCTCTTGCTGAGTCTTCACTTGGCTAGCAGAAGGCTCAGAAGCAGTCGACCCGGGTGCCGTACTAGCGACAGTTTCACTTTGACTCGAAGAAGGTTGAGCAGGATGCACTGTAGGAGTCAAAGGCCATTCTGTAGGATTCAAACGAGGACGAACCATATTTGCGTCCTCAGACAATTCTACCTGAAATCAGTAAATTTCGAGCGGTATTCAAACACAAATACCCGACTAAATATTACCTTTTCGCTATCTCGAAGACCTTCACAAATCAGTGTCAAATCTTGGGTCAGAGATCGGACACGTGGAAATGAAGCAATGAGAGTGATGGGCAGAAATCCTTCCGAATTCATCTTGCGACGCAAAAAGAAATCTTTCTGAAGATTATCCGCAGAAAAGTAGTATTCGCTGAAAAAATAGAGATCAATCATGTGAAAAGTTGAAAAGTCTATTGTTCAACAGAGCTAAAACTAACATTTGTTTTCGGACGCAATCCTTCAACGTCTCATCATTGAGCGGCACGAAAGGAGGCTGTGTTGGATATATTGGGGCAAACGGTATGGCCGTGTTGATGGTATCGCTAATTGCAGCAGTAAGTACAGCACCTTGAGGGCTGATTAGAGGTGTTACGCCAACGGGTTCTGGAGGAGGTGCGACGATATGTGGCTGCATGAGTGGAATAGCAGGTCGGAAGCCGAATGCAGCCATATGCTGCTGTGCCTGCTGTATCATCATACTAGCAACTTGCGGGTCCATTCCCTCCTACACCGTCAAATGGCGGTATTGACGACATTGCATAATACTGCGCATACTGTGAATCCATCAAATTCATATAATCAAAGTTGTCTTCACCATCTTGGATGTCCTCCCAATCTGGAAGAGGTCCTCTTGCCTTACGTTGCGCTGGGGTGAGTTTCGGAGGAGCATGAGGATTCCTTGACTGGTATCTGTCATTGCGTTGATAAAACGCTCTTGGTTTGTCACTGTCTCGTCTTTCAGCATTTTTATGCCAATAATCAGATTTGGCATTGATACCACGCATCTCACTTCGCACACCTTTCGACGATCCTGTTGAAATCCGATTACCTCCGTTGGCAAGTGGCTGTGGCTTCTCTTCTTTCTGGGGAGACTGAGGCTTCTTCGTGACTGCTGGATTCGCCGTTGCGGCTTTAACAGACGTAGTTGACAGTTCCGGCGAAGACATCGGCCCAACAACGACGATTTGTGAATCGCTTGTCTCCTCGCCACTCAGATTCTTTTTCCAGCCTTGATTGCCGCCTTGTGTGTAATAAATACCATTCGTTGTGTTGTCAATTACCCTGAAACAACCGGTGTGACCGAGTAACTTTGGTAAAGAGCGACATAGGTAACACTGAAGAGAGCCAGAAAGAGGAAAAAGAACAGAAATGAATGAATGAAATGGGTGGGAAGACGAAAAACCTAGGAAATATTGATCCAGAGTTCGGAAAGGCGTCGTGTTCGCGGATGGTCCAAAGTATAGAAAGAGGGGTATCGAAACAGCATAGGCGACGAAGAGTTGCAGCGAACAGGGTTGTCGAAAGAGCGCTGCAGTGCAGAGGTTATCGACGGCGCGTGTAAATTATGGAGCTGCAAGCCCCCCAGCTGACGGAGGGAGCAAGCACATTAGACGCCTATTCCCCCTTCTCAAATGAACGATTATATCGGTCTTCTTTCTACACAAAATCGTTGCAAACGATTGTAATAGCTGCAGCATAAACAGTGTCAGGAAAGTGTGTGGTTGGGACAAATGGGAAACCACCTATGTACACTGGTTGATCGATCTGTCGGCATGTATGACATGCCCTGACCTTGCATAATGATAAGACGATGATCCCTCAAAGAAACATCATATACGCTGCAATGGGTAACGGTTGAATTAAAGGGTAAAACATAAATATATGAAAATGACAGCACTCTTTAAACAACACAACAGCACGTCTGAACCAAAACCCTGCTGGTGTGCGGCATGAAGCCCGGCAAAACAGACATTTATGCACCCACATGTAATCGATATTTTCTAGATTCCTCTGCAATACACTGCAACGACGACGCATACCGTGCACTGCACTAAGGGTGGAGCGAAATCAATAAATAAAAATCGTCGGATCGTTTGAACAATACTGATTCATGAGCGCCTAGTCTCAAAACTTCACAGCCTAGCAACACACAAACGTGCCTGCGCCTGTGCCCGATTTTGATTTCAAATTATGCCTTTTTCACTGAAATGAGAGTGACGATAGAGAGTGACAATGGGAGGTGGAACCGCAATCACCTGCATACACTGATCAAACTCCGCTGAACCTCAACAATCCCTACCTCTCCGAAGTTGTTCAATCCAGTTGTTATCCTACAAAACTTCTCCAGCGGAATGAGGATGAACATGCACCTTAGCAGCTCAAAGACTGTTCCCGCGCTCAAGCAACTCGTAGCTGTCCTTCCTTGTGGAAGTACTCTTGCTACCAGTCTCTAAAATCGTCCCTCTTTGCGGCTTAACAGGAACGAGGAAAGGTGCTGTGACCCTCATGAGTGGCACTTCTGACGCGTCCTTATTTGCTCTGCCCATCAAGAGTCAATGGCTGTTGTCTGCCACGGAATCACTTTTTTACGTCATTTTTGGCTTTTTTAATGCTTGGTGGTACACATGGGATGACGCGCAGGGTACAGCATCGTTGTTTGAAACACATAGAGGGGTCGTACTTTTCCGCTGGGGAGGGGAGGGGGTCGTATTTGGTCGATGGGAGAGGTGGTCGCATCTGTGCGCTGGAGAGAAATCTGCTACGTTGGGAAAAATTTTTTCCTGGTTGTTGACTTTTCGATTTTCCTGTTTCATGTGTAATACATGTATGTACCGAGACCCTTTCAGGTGACGGTGGGAGGGGGAGAAGCGTCGTACCTACACCACCATTTCACACATAGTGAAGCGGGAGGATATGGCTTTGCTCGCATAAAAAGAGAAGGCCCGGGAAACTCGTCCAGAGGCTTCCAGGTCCTCTCTTGTGTATTCTCTGTAGTTTGTGCTTTTTTCTTCCTGGAGAGTCACTCAGCGACTACAGATCTGTAACTGAACGCATTAACGTATATACAATCACGGGTTTGTCCTCAAGTGTGAGCGACATACCAACTTGAAGACTCTCCGCGATTACCTGAGAGGTAGAACCCCTTCTCTGTACAACTGGGATGGGCAATCTTTGAAGATTATCCACTTTTGCGGTCCAACAGGGGTGACGAAGGCACTAATTAAACCGAACGAACGCCACAAGAAGAAGTTGTCTCAACCCATATGAGAACACTAATTTTGCCCAGATTTGAAGTAGGATGGGACAAGATATGCTACAGGCTCCACGTCTATGAACACAAAAGCGATGCCTTACATTCACTGTGCTTAATATGAATCTTTGTCATCCTAGGGCCTTATTCAGCGCGCGCTCGAGTGTTTCGTTGAGTCTTTCCTTGAACTGGTATCTCAGCTCGCATCTAAATACAAATATATACTATTTGAACCCTATAGCACAGGGAATGTGATAGCTAAAAGTGTCTCTTTCCGCGATCACAGATAAGAATCAAACATTTGGGTAGGGAAAGGTATTGGGAATCGCTAGAATGCTCCACTGAAGCGCAGGTGACTCGGTGGGTGCCCATCTTTTGCACCGGGCAAGTCATCCAGCTCACCATGTTTCCGCACATGACCTACACTGGTAAGACATCAGCATAGACGCCGAAATGATGACTTGACCAAGCACTTTCGTCTGCTCGCGGGCCGACCTCCGACTTTTTTCGTCCAACTTTTTACAGCGCACCCCTATTTCCTCTGCTATTCATAAGGAAAAGCTATTTGATGGGGATGATAATAAACTTAATTCGGTTTATCTTGCGAGGAAAACTGTTAATATACTGCAGGCTGTTTTGAGGTAGATTTTATCGCGTCTTGTCAATTCGATCAAGTTTGTCAATCAAGACGAGTAACCTGGACGAGTTGTCTGGTGCAAAAGGTGGACGCCACAGGTTGCGAGGGTGTGGTAGTTAGAATCAGTAGCGCCCCAGCAGCAGTATTACAGTTGACAGCTACGCCATTCGACCGCCTCTTTTGGCTCCTTTTTGTACATTCTCAAAGGGCACATCATTAGTTGGCGATTTTGGTCGAGGACCCCCCCCTCCTTCTTTTTTTGGGTGTTGGTACGACCCCCTAGTCCTCATCGAGCTGTCGAAGGGGGCGGGAGGAGGGAGGAGGTACATAGCGTATGTGGAACGGGAAAAGCAGCAAGGAAAATACGACCCCCTCTCTACCATTTTCTTAGATTTTCCCAATTCCAACCTGTTTTTCCGGAAGTTCCCGAAGAATTTCCTACTTTTACCCTAAAATTTTGCTGTCGGGCGGGTGGGCGCGGGTGAGGAGGATTAGTGTATACAGAGGGGGCCATAATAAAAAAAAACACTTCTCTTTCTTGACTTTGAAGGCGCTATAAGTAATACTTTATTGAGTTCTGATTGGACATTTCCACCATCATATTCAGCAACACATTGTACACCATCACGAGGCTCCGCCGTAGACTTCTAGGCGAACGCCATCGAGATTCTGCCATGCCACTTCGGTGCCCGTCTAACACCTTTCGATTCCAGGTGCTGGCACCCAATCCTGTAGCTGTACGAAGTTTCCAAGATGGTACAGGCGATGACATGAAGGCAGAATATTCTCCTCGAGTTGGTCGATGTAACCGTCAGCGATCACTTCCACTCCGAGACCCACGAAGAAAATACCGGCCTTCTCATTCCAGGCGCCGGTCTATACCATCAACCCCCGCCTCGGCGACTGCGGTGAGGATGATATCCTGGATCAAGCAACGTTGTAGGAGCTGCTTGATGTTGGAGGTCTTCCAGATCTAGAGTGTTGGTCCCCAGGTAGCTGTCCATGGGTGACCCCACACAAGGAGTTTCGCAGCTGTTTGAAAGTGACGTGAATTTCATAGCGCTTTTTCAGTTCGGCTGCGACTGGAGATGACTTCATAATGACTTCATGTTTTGGTGAACATGGAGGTGAGGGATGACAGCCTGCTCCTTCTTCGTGGAACATCTTGGGTATCTTCCGCCCTGGCAATTGTATCCACGTCTTCTATCTGGGTTGCGTAAACTTTACTGATATTTGACTCGGCCGAAGTGTCTTTTTTATTGCCCTATCCCCCCCCCCCCCTGTATACTCCTCATGAAACAGGAAAAATCAGAAAAAGTCAGCGGCTCTCAGAAGGTCACAAGGCTTAGTACGCCCCCCCCCCTCCCTTCCAAAAGCGAGCAAATAGACTCTACGAATATCTTGCCTAGTGTCTCTAGAATCTTGGTGAACCTTCGCCTTCCGCCTAGAATCAGCTGCTACAACGAGGGCCTTCAGGGGCATTCTCGACGGTTACCTTTTTCCATCAAAATTAAGTCAGCTAGCATATTAACTTGTTTTTTTATAAAATTTGAGCGAAAGAGGATTGGAGAACAGAAAACTAGGGCACAACATGTACAGGGGAACTCAGGAGGGAACAGAAGGAGCTGAAGGAGACCCCGCGCATGGGGAGTACCTTAAAAGTATAACTCGCGAAACAAGAAAGGCGAGAATAAAGGAGTGATGCATGCTATTGGATTGGGCTAGAAGTGGAACCATTAGGCTCTAAAGAAAAAAAAGAACAAAAAGTGAAAAACTCGGTGCAAAAGAGCCAGAGCTACAGGAATTAGTCAACCATTGTCAAACTGAGATA